GCAAATTTTTTGTTTCCTAAAGTTCCAAAAACAACTTATTTATTACTGCAAATTGCATTGGACAACATGCCATCAGCAGCTTTTCTTACTGCCAAATTGTTGCAAGTAGAAATTTTTCTAATAAGAACTAGCAATTTCTGAATGCAAAGCAGGGTGGTCCAAAAACGCATGTGAAAGAGTAAAGTCGAAATTTTGTTGGCGGTGCTAGGCATTTTCTTCCATATAAAAGCAATTGTTGCAATCTTGCAACTTGTACTTTAGCTTACTAAAAATTAATGGAACATAAAACTGCATACCTGAAATGTTTCTAAAAATTTTTAATAAAAAATTTAAATTTTTGGATAAAATTTTTTAAGTTTCTTGGATTTCTATAATTTGTGGACGAAGTTTAAAATGTATATTTATGTGGCGCTGGTTATGTACCGTTCTAGACTTATATAAAAAAAAATTACAAACATAAAATAGATAAAATATTTGTGTATAACACGAAAATGACAGAGTCGCCGTTTTCTGCAGCCAACTTTATTACCTAACACCCTGTCAAAATCGGATTTTGCAACCGCTCAGCTTGACGCCGCGTTGTTTCGGTATGCTTTATACAAATTTTATGGGCATGAGATTTTTTTGACAGAAGACAACGCTGACGCTTTTGTTTAGGTATGTCAGTAACTGGCGTCCCTAAATTGGAGCGCTAAGCGTTGCGTCCCCATCTCATCCATTGCCCATCCGATGCTTTGTTGAATTTCTTCACTGGAAGGGGTTTTTACGTAGCGGGTCTCAAACCCAGTGCTTAACCCATTGCTGGGACAAAAACGAATTTTGTGCATTGTGGGCTGAATGCTGTCCGCCCCGTTTGCTACATCCTTTGCTTACAGTTTTTCTTAAAAAAAAACCCAAACCAAAAGATGATTCTTTTATTTTCTTTTGATTTAATAACTTGTTTCTTTTCCTCTTATTCCCAGCCAATGAAGAATAACCCCCTTATTCTAGAATCCGCATGCTGCAACCCTTGCGGAAACATGTACAGCATTGCCAGCTATCAGTTGTTTTTCGAAGATAGCTGAATGAAGGAAAACAAAGTGGAAAGGAATTAAAAATGCCCTCGTCATGTGCTTGTTTATTGTAAAATTGGTTAATTTTACATATTTTGAGGAAAATTATGGATTCTGATGTATGTATTTGCAATTATAGCAGCAGATTAAGCGGGCGCTATGGCAATGGATTCACAAAGTTATGCGGAGCTGTCGGGCATAGTAACCATGGGCGCATCTATGTCAGCTTCTAGTTGAATTGTTGAACCACAAGCCAGAACTCCTCCTATGCCTGAAGCTCTGGTTCTCAATCCAGTTAATGCAATAACAGCTTCTTCCAAGCCATTGAAAACATGCACTTTGTTAGGTCCACCACCTATTGCACTTGCTTCTGCCTTCGGCCGCGCTTAGGGACTATAACCTTTACTAAGTAGAATACTACTTTCTGTGTTGCGGGGAAGAGGGGCTTCCGCATGTCAAAGGTAGACAACATTTCTCCTGCATATCACTCCGGCTACGCCGTCCACAGTATTTTTGCGCAGAACCCACGTCGAAATTTGCAAAAAAGTGCATAGTGCAAACCGAGTTTATTAATAAGCTAGTGGTAGGAAATTTGAAACATTTATCTTAAATAAAATGTTAATCCTTTTATTACACGGGTATGTTACAAGTTTTTGGATTCGGGTTATGCGTTTGGACACAACAAGCGAAAATCGTTGTACATTAACTAAACCGGACCCAAGTTTCTCGATAAGGGGCAACAAATATTCTTTTTTGCTCATTTATACAAAGCAGTGGATAAAAATATACGTATATGCGAAAGGCAAATTTATCTGTTTAAATGAACACCACCAATATTTCTTGCAAACACACATCGATTTACATCTTTTATTTCGCCTCCGACACAGAATTGTTTTCGTACAAAATTACGCAAAAAAGCTTACTCGCTCGTTTTTAAGCATGCCATTGTTACGAATTTCGAAAGTTCGAAAATACGATTCGGATTGCAGCATACTATTTCTACGATTCGTAGCAAAATCCGAATACGAAAGAGTTGCAGAATAGGGGTGTAAATCCCAAATGGCATATTCAATTTGATAAAAGATGACTTCCATCAAAACACATAAAACGTAGATTTATTTATAATATGGTGTTCACATGAGGCGATTTTACAGGCAACTTTTAGTTGAAACCAAAAATCGCCTGGTGTGAACGGCCTTTCAACTAATCCCGGGTTGGCTTTACATTACATTGGTTTTTGGGTGTTTTTACAAAACTTTCACGAATTTTGTCATGAAACTTGGCGGGGATGTTAAGAATCGTATACACTCTTAAAAGTACATGTAAAACTACTACTGAAAAGTGTTTATTTTTCAACCAGAATCTGTTCAAGTATACGCACAAGATGTTCAAGATTTGATTTTGAACATGAGTTGTTTAAAATATACACATGAAATGTTTAAAATTACAAACATTTTGAAAGTAAAAGTATATTTTTTACAAATAATAAATATTAAGTGCCAGGGGCGCATGCAGGAATATATTTTTGGGGGGAAAGGGTTTATACTTCTAAATATATATCATCAGCAAATACTGAAAATTCGCTCTTTAAAATACATTTATGAAAGTTTTATTTACAGTATGAAATAAATAAATAAATTTTTTAAAGTATCATCAATTGCATTTTATTTACATAAAATTTACAGAGAACTCATTCTATTTAAAACCGGCTTCAAAAATGGGGAGGTTATCAATTATTCGTGAACCGATTCCAATAATTATTTGTTTTACCGGAAAGATGGTACCTTAAGGGTCGTCTCGTAATTTGGTTTAGATCCGATCATTGAATCATGAAAAAATTAACGGTTAAAGATGCACTTAACTTTCAAAAGTAATACAAAATTTTACAAAAAAATTTTGATATAAATAAATTAAATAATTTCACGAAATTTTTACACTTTTTTATTCATTTTCGTCGATTTCTGGTTTCTCATTTTTTAATACTTCGAATAACGAAAATTTAACTGAACTTGTATTTTTATCATGTAGCTCATTTTGGTGGAACGAATTCGAAGTAAGAAAATTAAATATTCGAATGCTTATTAAGTACACATCAGTGGTAAACTTTTTTAGGCTGTAAAGTCTAAAAACCAACAGTAAGTGAGTATGCATTGCATATTTTTAGGACAATGTTTTCATTCGCAGTTAAACTTTAAAGAGCTCTCAAGAAAAAAGAAAAATTCTTACAAAATGACGCACAAGAAATGGAAAATAAAATTTTTTCCATCAAAATTTCTTATATCATAATAAATTTAGCCACAATACCCACCCCTTGTGTGCGGTACGTGACAAATTTGGTATGTAAATGTAAACAGACAGGGTTTAATTTTGCACACACTAGGAGAGGAAACTGGTTACCTCTTTTTATATGCGTAAATTTAAACGAACATTTTTTAGAGGAAATTTTAAACATTTTATGTGTAAACTTCGAAAATGTGAACAATAAATCTTTAAAACTCAAAAAACAAATTTGAAATTTGTTCTACGCCACACATATGATAAGTAAAAGTAAGCAAACAGTGTTTAGATTTGCATTCATTAAGAGAGGAAACTGGTTACCTATCTTAATATGCACAAATTTAAACAAACATTTTTTAGAGTGTATATTTACATTATTTATACCTCTTTTGACTTTATTAGTAATAGTATTTAACTAATTTGTTGATAATTATTTGCAGTTGAACTAGCAAATTTTCACATAAAAAGAGCACTTAACACTTATATTTTGATACCATCTTTGCAATGTTCACATGTATTTTGTATACATTAAATGTATGTATTTGTTTTTTTTTTTTTTTGTTAACAATATAAAACACGTTTAATAATTTCACTATTTGTCTTCAACAAAGTAAACAAGTAAACAAATCAAAATGGCTGTAATGGTGAATAGAAAGAAGCTACCAGATGTTCGAAAATGAAATCGGTACACTTAACAGAAGGGACATTCAACAATCTACTTCTGTTTCATAATGATCTCGATAATATAAGGGAATAAATGAGTACGTCTGCGGCGCTTTACAAAAAAACAAAACTTTGAAAATTTTAATAATTAATTAATAAAAAATTGCGTGATTTTATGCAAATCAATTGTTTTAATAAAAATCAATACTTCGATAAGTAATGAAAAGTTTTTATAAAAATCACGCAATTTTTTATTCAAAGTTTTCGCCTGCCGCACTTTTTTCATAAAAATTGATACTTCGACAAATAATGAAAACTTTTAATAAAAATAACGCTATTTTTATTAAAAATTTTCGCCTACGGCACTAAAAAAAAACAATAGTTCGATAAATTATAAAATTTTTTTATACAAATTCGCGCTATTTTTCTCTTACTTTTTGTATTAAAATCGATAATTCGATAAGTAATGAACATTTTTATTAAAATCAATACTTTGCCTGCGACTCTTTTTTTGTAAAATAAAATTCAATATAAAGTGAAAATTTTCAATAAAAAATCCGCGACTTTAGTTTAGTATTCTCATCATCTGGCAGCACCAGCATCTGTGTTCATTTCCAACACTTCCATGTAATCAAAAAAATTTGTATGGTGAATTGTGAATATTTAAAATTTAATAACTTTTTAAATACAAGCCTCCGCGCTCTGAGGTTTTCGCTTTTAGAATCGGAAAAAGCTCCTCTACACGCCATCATTTTTATTTTTTTCCCCCTAATCCCTTCCAATGAAGTTCGGGTGCAGCCAACTTTTGATTCATCTAATCGCCTCTAAAATTGCCTGGAAATCGCCACATGTGAACACCATATAACCGAAATTTTATATTCGAATAGCCATTCGAAAAAGTCGAAAAGAAGCGGTTAGTCGATTAAGTGAAGTCGACTATTTTCGCAAGACTCTTGGATAATCGATTAATTTATTAACAGCTGATGAAAAGTAATGAAAAAGCGTAGCACAACAAAAGGAAAACAGCTGTTTTTGGAGGTATGTAGATAAGAGATGCACAAACTCGAAGCTTTTGAAATCCTGTTCATATTTTCTAATTAAAACAATGACTAAATTGGCAAAAACGGCTTTAAATTTGAAGCAGGTATTTATGCATATATTTACACGAAAAAAATATCACATCTTACCATGTGACAAATTTTCCCGCAGTTTATGCTGCGCCAAGAGGTGCTGAAGTTGTATCGCGAAATTTTCCGTACTATAAGGCTTGTTCCCGACAAAACCAACCAGCGGGAATTACGTGATTGGGCACGCCACGACTTTCGGACGCATAGTGGCCAGACAGATGAATTGGCTATCAAAATGATGATTCAATATGGACGACGTAGCCTTACTGAGCTGCAGACGAGTTTGGTTTTGAGCGGAGCTGGCAAGGGGAAGACTGCGAATGTAGTATCAAACGATAGTGAGAAATCCAATAAGAAAAATATAAAAAATAATTTGGAAAATTAGTTAATAAAAGCGGTGAAAGAACTTTTGGAGATGAATGGGTCCGGGCCATTTGAATAAATACTAAGCAATTGCTTTTTCTAAAAAGTTTCAGACTTTTTACTCGATTTATTCAAACAAGATTGAAGTAAAAGGGCTGAAATTTTAAGAAGCAATTGCTTAGTTTTTATTCATACGGCAAAATATTTTTATCCATATAATTGAAACGAAACTCATAGATTGAATACATGTTCGTTTATTTGCATGTTTGTGCATATTATTTGGTAATTCAGCAGTTCCGATTTAGTGCCATATGCGACAACCCACAAAAGTTTCTAATCTAACTTATGTATGTATTATTACTTGTACGTAATTCAACGTGCGTACATTACACGAAAATGTTAACTAGATTTAATGCACGCTACTTGCACCTGCAACTACATCTTTTATAATCAAAGTTTACAGCGTTTTGCTAATTAATTATTACGGAGCTTACGTCCGTTTGGTAGAAAAATTATAAATTATAAAATTTATAACCTTAGCAAACAATTATCCGGCTTAGCTTAAAATTCGTTTTAAAAATAAATATTTAGAGTACGATTTAAGTTAAGAAAAGAGCACCTGATCTTTTACTAATATATATACCGCATCAAACTCATCCATAGAACTTTCAATAACGCTGAGCCAAAAAGCAATGTGCCAGTACTAGCAACTAACAGTGCTATGAAATCGCGCTTTGGACGTTCTGCGATGCGTTGGACTAGAAAACTATGCACAATAGTGCTTGTAATGTGATAGCCATCGAGACCAAAGCATGGAATGGCGTTTAAAAGCGCCTGCCCAAAGCTGAAGATCACATTATATTTGAGGAAGAGAGCGTAGGTATCACCCCATTGTGGAGATATATAGGACTGCCGAGGCACAAATGGTGAAATTCGCACAGTACTAGAGACATCAGCTGGATGCCCAATGTAGATTACGTCCCGCAATTTTTTGGATGGGCTATTAGCGCTGCGTGTTGTGCGTTTAAACGTTAAAATCGTGGTTGTGTTGCGCAATAAGGGACGTAAACAGAAGCCACTTTGGCAAAAATTACCTTCATTGGAACTGCTGCTTTTGCTGTTGATACCGCTGCAGAAGCCACTAGAATCTTCGAGGGTGCGTCGAACGTCCAGGCAAACATGTTGGGGTATTTGTGCGTGTTCTGCTGCATCTGTTAGGTCTACAGTTTCTAAATTATTTAGACTTTCAGATACTGATTCGAAGCAGCACAGTTTCTCATTGCGCTCATCACAACATTGAAGCATGCCATCCGCACTATGATGTGATATTTCGATGCTTTCGTCATTGTAACGTATAAAATCGTGCGAAACACAGTATCCAAGGCGTGTGCCACGTAATGAGCGTTGAAGACATTCATACCAATCCGACTCTGTATTTACTTCACAATCGTTTATTTGCGAAACAATATCTCCAACCATAAGACCTTTTCCGGACGAACCAAGCAGCGGTGATTTACGCGACATTTCTGTTACAACAACGCCATGATCAATAGTATAAAATGGCGCCGCTACATAGCTTAACGTAGACAGAAGAATATAGCAAAAGCAAGCGAAGATGAAGTTATGCCAAATACCAGCGCATATTATTCGTAATTTTTTGAACCATTTCAATGCATTGAGATGCTCTGTTGAGATCTCCGTATAGGCAAACGGCAAACAAAGATATAACTAAAAGAAACACAAATTACTAATGATTTCTAGCCAGAACAGCAAAGATTACCTGTAAGCCAAAACCAATAACTGGTATATCCTCTTGCACCGCTGCTAGGGCATGCCCGAATTCATGCACCATTGTGCACAATAGGAGGGTTAACGCATAGTAACCAACCTCCTCTAGCGGCAAATTCACACCAGGTAATAGTATTTGAACTTTTGGTGCGTTTTGTATTAGCACACTGTTTTGAGAGTTTTCCCTGTTTACGCCACCTCCTACAGGCGAAATGCCATTGTGTGGTGCGCTGTTATTTTCTTCATTAAATATTGTTATGAACAATAAAATAATTCCAATTGGTAGCAATGATAATGCCACTAAAACGCCGACCGTGTAAGTGCGCGTCAACCACACTCGCATCCAACCGCTGTTGTTTCCCCATCGCAGCATAGCACGATTGAACGCGGTTGTATGCCAGCGTATACGCATGAACTGCACCGTCAAGCCCGTATTTTTCAGAAATATCTCATAGGGATAGTGCATACAGCTCTATGGAAAATTTACCATATTAATTTGTTTATGAATAGTGCAAAGTGCAGCCGGAAGTGTCTCACCTTGAACAAGCGATCAATGAAAAAACAAACGCCATACAGCACCACTATCACGCACAGGAAAATCCAGGGGTCCATTTCCGAATATTTCGTTTACTTCTGTTCAATTGTTCTGCTTCGCCCAATTTATTTATTTGGTTTTAGTTCCACCATTATAATAAATTGTTATACTATCGCTTATTTTCACGTTGCCTGCAAATGCAAATAATTTCTTTGCTGGTGTGCACAAGTTTTGATTTTCTCGTTTTGTTTTGATGACAAGGTTGACAGATTTGAGTGTTTGTCAAGAAGATTAGCAAAACAAAACAAAGAAATACATTCAATTTATTGGAGATTTGAGCTGATCAGTTTATTGTAAAAATTCAGCAAGCAAAAATTTTTTTTTTGTTTCAATTGACCCAAGGGCGTATCAATTGACTACGCCTTGAATTGACCACTTTTCAACGTTTTGTACATACATATGTACATATTTGTGTATTCTGCTTTATTATTAAATTCGCTGGTAAATTAAAAATCTGATTTAATTTGTTTACCCAGCAACGCTGACTATTTTCTCTTTGATTTCACTCAGGACTCCACTGAGGAATGTGTTATAAAAACATGAACCACATATACAAATATAAACATTGAAATATTAAATTGACGAAGAAAGAGAGCCATTGCGGAGGAGTTCATAACGACCGTATGCATTGTTTTTATCAGCGTTGAGCCTCCATCTTCCCGCTGCCCCATTCAGTTGTCGGATAAACGCGTAATGTGCAAACTTTTCGTAAACACATAAACTCATTTTTCGGGAAATGAGTCATGTCGTATTGAGGCCATGAATCGGTACACGTAAAACTAGCAATGAAAGCGAGTAACATTGCATTCCAGCAGTGGCAGTAGCTAAGGGAAGATTGATTGTGCTCAAAGTGTATCGCACTCTTATATTTTTACATAGATATTCGTGCAGTGCAAAAACCATTTATAAATTCTTTTGTTACATTTTCAATCCAATCCAAGACATAACAAAACACTTTAACAATGTTCGACTTCAATTTACAATTTGCCCGTGGAGGTGCCAACGTTACTGTAGAATTATTCGAACTGTTGACAGCAGGAGGCGTCAAGCAGAACATAGTTTTCTCTCCTTTCTCCATACAAACTTGTGCTGCTTTGGCTTTTGCCGGTGCTAGCGGTGAAACGGCTGATCAAATCGCTGAAGGACTGAAATTCGCTTCGAATTTTCATCCCGAAGTTGCTGAAACCTTCCAACACGTTTTTGAAAAATATAAGGATAGTGAGTTGCTCAAAATTGCGAACAAAGTGTACGTTCAGGAAGGGCAACAGTTCAAACCCGATTACGAAGTGGCACTGAAAGAGAGTTATAACGCAGAGGCAGAAAACTTGAATTTCGCGGAAAGTGAAAGCGCCGCTGCTGCCATAAATTCTTGGGTGGAGGACAAAACTGCTGGCCAAATTAAAGACCTTGTGTCCGCCTCGGCCATTAATGAATTAACACGTCTTGTGTTGTTGAATGCTCTACACTTCAAGGGTTCATGGGCGCATAAATTCGATGAAGAACAAACTGCTGAAGACGACTTTTGGGTATCCGAAGAAGAATCAATTAAACTGCCATACATGAATCAGAAGGCGAAATTCGGCTATGGCTTCTTTGAGGAATTGAACTGTCAGGCGCTCGAAATGCCGTACAACAATTCGGATCTCTCCATGCTAGTGCTGCTGCCTAATGAACGCGAAGGCTTGAAATCTCTTGCCGAGAAGCTGAAGTCAGTAAATTTGGTCGATTTAGCAGGGAATCTTGATTACAGCGAGGACGTTGTAGTTCAGTTCCCCAAATTTAAGGTGGAATTCGAAGTGGAACTGACCGAAACTTTGAAAAAGGTGAAGATATAGGATTAACCATTTACATAACATTTCCATTTCCTTCATATCATGAGCTTTGTGTTGAGCCACTATCGCTATGGTAACTTGTGTTAGCTGTCGTTTTGGGGTCATAACGTAAATGTTGAAGTGATTAAAAGCCCAGAATGTTAAAATACTTTAAAAATAACAAATTGCTCACTAGAAGTATTTCTTATCATTCCGTTAACTTATCACCCAAATGCCAAATTTTTTATTTACGATTTGGCTAAACTAAGCTGTTGGACGTAATTGCTTGTTTTATCTATACAATTGCTACTGGCGGCACAATAAAAACAAGCGGTAGTGAACTGCTGCGTGCACATTTATTGCTTGCTGCAAGATCGCAATCTATCTTTTTTTATTGCTACATACATTTTATTTTTATTGATTTAATCTTCGCTTTTAGCTTGGAATAAGCAAAATTTTCAGTGAAGAGGCTGAGTTTAACAACATGCTGCAGTCGCCCGAGGGTCTTCAAGTATCCAATGTATTCCACAAAGCTGTTATAGAAGTGAACGAAGAGGGCACTGAGGCAGCTGCTGCAACAGGTAAATTATGGGTTTATTCAACCTAATATGGCTCTCAATTTTAAATGTTCTTATAGCGATGATAATGATGACGCGTTGCATGCTCATGCCACTGCAATTCACAGCAGACCGTCCATTTTTCTATGCAATTTGGAATAAGAGGAACATTCTTTTTGCTGGTGCCTTTGTTAACGCACCAACAGCTTAATTTGTTTACATTAGAAGCACAGAAAGTATTTTTATACCCACTATTTATACATACATATATATGTACTTATTTATGTATTAAGTAAATATTTTCTAAAAATTTGAAAAATTGATTTGTTTTATTTGTCTTTTAATGTATATATTTAGGTAAGTGATTCAATGTTGTTGTCAACGCTCCTTAGCCCTGCCTAAATCAGCTAATATTTCAATTTTTGTGGGGAAGGATGCTAGAGTCCTGGCCAGATATGAATCTGGCTTGTTCCTGTTACGTAGAGCCGACTGTCGTGGGATCGTTTTCTTCAAGCTCAACAAACGGTACTCCCAGCAAACTTGGTATTTCGACAGGGACGGAGCAAATGTAGTGGAAAGGCGTTGATTGGGTAGGCTTAGGGAAGTGCCATGCGGGGAACTTTCAAATGCAGAACACACATTTGGTACGTTAGGGAGTCTGGATAAGTAGGAATTTACGCGTTTAGAATATCCAAACCGTAATGTTTCTGACCGAGTAATACGAGAAAGCTGAAACTCTGCCTCTGCGACCTCAATGAGGAAATTCAGGGTCTCACCCTATGGTACTCCCGTTTAACCCTTCTTGATCCTGACGTTTTATTTCGAGAAGGTACTGACGGCCGTCGACCACTCAAATAATTCGCAATCCACCTTTTGAGTTCCTGTTGTAAAGACGGTGCTTTTGATGCCTTCTAATATGCAGCGTGAAGTGACAGAGTCGAAGTCTTTACCACTTTACTATGGCGGTGTAATAATTGTAAGCACTAGTTTACACATACATATCTTATTTATGAATAGTTTTATTTATCAGGATTTAAAATAATTGAGTGGTCTAATCGTATACACATAGAAAGTTATTTTTATAATTTAGTACAGAAAAGTCTACAATTACAGCATTACAAGTTACGATACTTAAATACATTAACTTGAAAGCCATTTATGGAATGAGTTTCGTGACATGGATATGCACTGGTTATGCGTTAAATATGATAATAACAAAGAAAATTAGAAATAAAATATATAGAAAAATGGATCCGAAACATTAACGATTATAAAGAATGCAAAGAGGCTCGTCGATTTCTATACCAACTCCTCTACATTTTCAAAAATAATGTAATTGGGCAATGGTCACTGCCCATCACCTGTGAGCGCATACAGTTCTCCACTACTCGTTTAGTGAAACGTTCAGACACGATAAAGTAATCCAAACGCCATCCAACGTTGCGTGACCGTGCGTTTGCCATGTAAGTCCAATATGTGTAAGCAGCTGTGCGATCTGGATATAAGTGCCTAAATGTATCGACGAAGCCGAGAGCTAACAATTCAGTCATTTTGTCGCGTTCCTCCTGCGTGAACCCGGCATTACGAGTATTAGTTTTAGGGTTTGCCAGGTCAATTGCCTGATGCGACACGTTCATATCGCCACATATGACGACTGGCTTTATGATATCCAAACGTTTAATATACTCTTGGAATAGTTTTTCCCAGCGCATGCGTGCCTCCAAATTAACTAACTTTCGTCCCGAATTCGGTACATATACATTGATTAAGAAGAACTTCTCATATTCAGCTGTAATTATGCGGCCAACTGCATCAAACTCTGTGTTTCCAATGCCATATTCAACGTTAATCGGCATTATCTTCGAGTATATAGCAACACCTGCATAGCCACCGGGCATGCAGAGCCAATAGGGGTGATAACCAGGTATGCGTGCAACTTCCTCCGGCAGTTGATCGGTAGTGCATTTGATTTCCTGTGGTTTGAAAAAAAAAAAAACTTGATGAAAACAAAAGGGGAAATGATGTGTGACTAACCTGTAAGCAAAAAATATCTGGTAATTCGTAATCCAAGAAAGCTAAGCCGTCTTTCTTCAACCAAGAACGCAAGCCCGCAACATTCCAGCTTGAGATTTTTAAATTAAATCGCTCTGCGCCCTCTTCACCTTGGGGTAGTTTAAAGTCTTCGGAATTATATTTTGTGACGGTGGAATTGATGAGAGCACCTTCGGTTTTCTTTGCTTTTGCCGCTAATTATGATAGAAAAAAATTACTTTATTTTTTAAACAGGAATCATCGGGGCTATTGTTGATTCCATCGCAGGTGTGGTTGTCGTGAAATCTACGAAAATCTTATCGCTGAATCAGAAAAGCGTACCAGTTTATACCTTCATACCTATCAGCTCTCCTCTGGATTCAACAATGGCAAGCACGGCAAAGCAGCCAAGTATTAATACTCACGTTTGGATCCATCGACCTCTTCAACACCATCGGAAATATCAGTTTTTGTGGCACCTCGCTTGCGCCCCTGTGGTTTCTTGCTTGTTTCTTTTATATCTATAAAGAACGCCAAACAAGTATTCTATTAACTAAACCACTATACATTTATAAGAATAAAATTATGTATGATATGAACAATTACAAATAAGATGATCAGTGTAAATATAAAAATATGAGCATACATATCGCTCGTTTAATAATATAACTACGTATTTCAAAATTACAATTTTTGTGTGCAGTTAAAGTTTTATAAATTCATACAGTTGGTACACAAAAAGACATGAGGAAAGACGCATATCTTCGCCATTGTTGGGAAGTTTGGTTATCTGTTAGACCGAAAATATTCTACCTATCAAACTTATTAATTGCGTAATGAAATCTCCAGAAGACGTTAAATTTAAGTTACATCTCTATATTATTATACGTGCGATATATGCGTGTAAATATAGAAAATATTTATATATTTGCCCACTTACTATTCTCCAATTGTTCCCCGGCCTCCTTTTCGGGTGTTTTATCTGCTCTTGCCCTAATTTTGGTTGCCTTTGTTTTATTTTCTTTAGGTTCCTTTTTAGACTTTTCTGTAAAAAATATATATAAAAGCATACAAATATTTTACCACATTAAAGTTGCAAGAAATTTCGTGTTACTTTTGGGACTTGGATTTACTTCTTCCTCAGCTTTTACATCCAATTCAAGTTCATTAGCCTGAGCTAAGTTTTCTATTACTGACTCTTTTTTATTGCCTTTGCGCTTACTTGCAGCTTTTTTAACCGGCTTTTCCAAAGATTTTTCTAGTATCTCGCTAGGTTGATCCTGCTCATGTTCTTCTTTTACAGCTCTACCCCTAGACCTTGGTTTATTTTCGTCCAAACCTGGCGCTTTACTATCACTTGCGTCAGTTTGCTCTACTTTCACCTTCGATTCCTTAGTTATTTTCTTTTTTGTGTCTTTTACGGCCTCTTTTGGAACTTCGCCGTTTTGTTGATCCTCAGCTACTGCAATTTCTTTCGTAGATTTATTTTGCTTTCGCAGAGTGGTAGGCTCCTCCGTAAGCGATTGTATTGCAGTAGTCTCTTTAATAGCTGTGGCGGCTGTAGCTGCAACTTTTTTACCCCGGCCTTTCAAAATTAAAAAAAATGTTTTGTATGTATTTCATCCTTCTTAAAATATTCAAATTCTACTGCTGTGTGGAAGATCGACCTACCTCGGCAGTCAGTTCCAAAACGCCCTATCTCATAAAACTTTTGAAGTACGCCCTATTTCAGAATTTGGTTGAAGAATGCCCTATTTCAGAATTCGTTTCAAAAACGCCCTATCTGCCCTAGCTGCCGATACAAAAACGCTTTATATCAGCACATTTTCAATACATTTTCCACTCAGCAGTCGATTTATAATTATTTACAAATGTACATACCTCGTCCCTTGTTAACCGTCGCCGGCGGAGCACTATCAACACCATTACTTTCACTTGCGGCTGGTTCAACCTTCGTAGCTGCTGCTTTGCGCCCACGCTTTGCTGGTGCTTTTGCTACCTCACTTTCCGCATCCAAATTCTCCGCTGCCACCGGTTCGCTATCAACCGTAGCGGATTCAGCCGCTTTCCTTCCGCGACGTTTGGGTGCTGCCGATTTTTTCTCTATTACAGCTTCTTCTACGGAATTTGAAGTTGTAGCTTGTTCTTTCTCTTCTGCAGCTACGACTTTTTTTCGCCCTCGGCCCGTACCACCAGCTTTTGCCACCTTGACTGACTTTCCCGTTGCCGGCAAGACCTCCACTTCTTTGACCACTTCCCTTTTGGCCTTACGGCCACGTCCTTTTCCTTTGAGAGAAACAACAGCATCTTCCTCGCCACTCAAGAAACCACTAGACGACGAGACAACCGCTTCTTCGTTAACATTTTCCAAAGATTTTTGCCCTCCCGCCGGCTTTGCAAATTTTGCCATTGTTGTTTCACTTCGCAAGAATTCTACTGGCAAAATATGTGGAAACTTAACTTGCTTTCTGCTGACAGAGTTTTCTAGTTCAGATTTATAGATTTTCGTCGAAAATTTACAATTTGGCCAAGCAAATTTGCACTTTGCTGTGGTGTGAAAACTTTTTGTCCGCGAAGGATGAAAAATGCCGTACAGGAGGCGCGAAAACGACAGAATTGCTGTCAAATGCTTCTTCTTTTCGAGCATTCAGGCAAAATTTAAATAAGTATTCAAAATAAGAGAATTGTACGCATACCCCAGCAAGAACACTATCGGGAAAGTACATGTGTCATAACGAGAGTTATACCTTGGGCGCCTGTCACATGCTCATTATTAAATGACAATCCCTCTGTATCAAAATATTTATTGAAATCTGTAACGCAATATTTATTGAGGGAATATTATTAGATCGTGATCCGTCAATAAATATTGAGCGCATAGCGTAGGTCGGTGTTATGCAGACAAACTTTTGTTTGCCAAATTAAATGGCGGCTGCTTAGTTTGCTCGGAGGTGGTTATGTCGAGTTTGGCACAGGGTTGCACGTTCATTATGGTTTTCATGGCTATTGCCAACACGAAATGAGAATTTCAGATGTACATAACGCGCAAAATTTAAAATTTTTGTATATGGCAGTTTGACCAAACAAAATTAGTTTGCTGTGAGAGTCGCCAAACTCGCTCTCTCCGAGTTTGCTGCAACAACAATTGCACGCAGTTTGCCAAACAAAATTTCTGCATAACACCGAACGTACAAAGAAACAAATAAGCGGATAAAGCATTTCATTTATTTTTATGTAGTTTGTGACTATTTAATGGAAAAGAATATTGAAGTCGAGTGTGTAGTGACGGTAGGTTAGGTTAGGTTATTCTAGGGGACCCTACAAAATTTGCAGTCGCCTTCTTGCTGCTGCCCTATTTATGGCCACCCTGCTTATAAGGCCATTCTGTGACGTAAATTGGTATGAGCATATAGCCATCAATATGAATCGTGTTCCAAGTATCACTATATATGTATATTGAACGTGTGACAGGCGTTTATTGTAGCAGCAGGCACTGGCGTTACTCGCGCTTAAGGCAAATTTACACAAGGTGGTATTACTGGCGAATACAGATTTTCGCCGCGGTCCTTCTCTATGTCTAAATCAAGGCGAATTTATACTAGGTCAATATTGTAATTGGTTTGAACGGTAAGAAGCTTTCTGGTGAAAGTGGAATAGGAACATTTACTAACATTTAAAGATAAAGAATTAAGAGAGCACCAAGAACGCAGGTTATTAAGCTCAGCTTGCAGCAAAAAGGTCTTGTGAGGTTCTGATCACTAAGTAAACCTTTAGATCATCAGCATATAATAAATATTTAGAGGACTGGAAGCATGATCCAATATCATTTATGAATAAGACAAATAAAAGAGGGCCCAAGATACTGCCTTAGGGAACACCCGACGTAGCTACAAAAGGAGTGGAGAGTATGTTATCAAAAGCAACTGTGCAACGCCTATCGGACAGATAGGAATTAATCCATTCCAGAAAAGTTGAGTGAAAACGCAATCGCGATAACTTATTAATTAAGACTTTATGCGAAACTCTGTCGAACGCCTTCGAAAAGTCTGTGTACACAGCGTCCACTTGTAGATCGGACTGCATCGCAGCAACACAGTCCTCCATGAATGTAGCAAGGTTGGAGACAGTCGACCTCCCACTAACAAACCCGTGCTAGTAAGGGCAAATTAAACTTTTCACTGCGAAATTGAGCTTCTGTTTGACAACTGATTCCAAAACTTTTGGGACAGTGCCCAGTTTGGAAATAGGCCTATAATTCGAAACGTCGTTCTTGTTCCCACTTTTGTAAATTGGTGTAATGAAAGCATTTTTCCAGTCGTCAATAAAGTAACCAGACGAAAGAGATTTATAGAACAATATTGTTAATGGCTGAACAAGCGATGGGCAACGTTTGAGCATAGCACCTGAGAGGCCATCAGAATCCAACTTAAAAGAGTGCTTTATGGAACAGATGGCTACTTCTACGTCACTTTCAGAAATATGCAGTGCGCCTAAGTTAAGGGCAGAATCTGACAGAGGGTAACGTGCAGAAGCCACATTCGAATCCGAGACATAATTGGAGGAGAAAAATTCTGCGAATAGATTGGCTACCTCAGCAGGTGTGTTAGCCTCCTTGTCATTCAAAAAGACTGAGGGCGGCACTCTCGCCTTGGCGTTCTTAGATTTTACAACCCCCAAAATGCTTTAGGGTTGTTTTTAATGTCTGCTTCACTTTTGCTAATAAACTTATTATAGAGAATATTGTCCAAGGAATTAGAGTTCCTAAGGCAGTACTGACAACTGACGAACACAGATTGGGACCTAGTTGCCCTAAATCTTTTAAAAGCCTATTTTTACGATTTTTTAGTCGCTTTAGATCCTTGTTGTACCATGGTAACTTGTACAACTTCCTTGTAACCGAAATTTTTCTCTTTTGATTGCCAATTACAATTGGTGGCATTACCACATATTTACATATGTATACCCAAACATGTAGTGTTCCAAAAAATATTTAGGTTTGAGCTCAACTTGAGGTTAGGTTGAGAACTAAGGTATTTCTCAACTTGAACTCCAATGTAATTCTCCAATTGGTCTCAAAAATATCATTGAAATACTGGAATTGAAATAGTAAAATACCTTACACCTTTTTGATTGAAACGATATACATAAATAGATGAATTTAAATATTTAGCCTTATCATGAGTTTAATTTTCCCCGAACCGGTTCACTTTTCACTTTTGGTTTCCATGGTTTTACTATGGGCGGATGACAAATTTTCGGGTGAATTTTTTTTTCAGTTGAAACTCAGAATAAAGCAGATCAATTTTTCATTTTATTACTCCTTACGCGCGTACTTATGGAGTTTATCCCATAAGAACCCATGTATACAACTTATGTAGCTGTCAAACGCACGCATACGTATACGTACGCATGCGCTTGCCTATGCAGTTCCAGCTTTACTCGCCCTTTCGTCCATACTTACCCTTCATCATATCCAACGACCCAAAGGGCTTGGAATATTTATTAAAAAATAGCACCGGCTATTCAATCAAAGGTCAATTGCTAACCACAGTGGCATGAAAACGCAATTAACCAACTTTTACTACGCCATTCAATGCACTCATTGAGTGCAATTGGCCGCCGCCACTGACACGAGTAATTTTAAATTAACCAACAAGTCAAAAGTACTCCAAGGCATGGCGTATTGTAAAACCCAAAAACAAAATATAAAAAATTTACTAATACACTCACTGCATCCGCGGAATTTGCAGCAGCTGCCGCCAACATCGCAGCGCTCCCTCATTCCGAGTTCATTTGTGCCACTGTAGTAGCCATTATTGATTTTCGTAACAAGTATTGCGCTGATTTTAGCCATCAAATTTCCAACCAACACGCTTATTTAAATGACACCCCCCTCGCCTACCCTTCTCTCGGGCGACCAGATGCCAGTCCTCAAACGAAGGTCAGTTGTAGAAAAACCTTATAAAAATGGGTTGCAAAGCTCGATGCTGCACGACGCGATGGTCAGCGGCCAAGGTGAGTGGTTAATAATGAGTATGAACAAGTTACTTCTCGCTATTATTGGCTTTGAAATTGACAGGCTCGTTATTGCCAAGCAAATATGTAAGTGCTTGGCGTTTTGCAGTTGAGCGTGTAGCAGTTTGTTAACGGGATTAATAATGTAGGAAGCAAGATTATTGGTGTTCAAGCCCCTTAAGTGCTTTTTAATTGTTTGTAGACACAAAACGGCATCCAAAGTGGATGGTCGTTCAAGGTAAGTGATATATATGTATACCAATATGGGTACCAAATCAAGATTTTTTTTTTTAAATTTAAGAAAATGAAACACTTTTTGGTCGCAAGAACGAATAGATATTGAAAAAGTCATTTTAATTATTTTATATTTTTTTTAAGCTAATAAATAAAGTTATAAGGACGAAATTCGAGATAAAATTTTAAAAGAACATTTTCGATACTTATTCGTCGTTTAGCACTAAAAAATTAACAGGGCTGTTCACGATCATGCGCATGTGTTCTTGCATGCCATGGTAGCAAGCATAAAATTTGCAAACGAAATTCCAAATGCAAGTTCAAGACCATTTCCACAATATCCTGAACAGCTCTAAAATTTCTCAATTGTTATGCCAAATTGCACTATATTTTTAAATAGTTTATTGCATTTATCATGATTTATTGAATTAATAATATCTTTGAAATATCAGAGTTTTAAAAAAGAATCACGAAGTCAGAGAGAAAAACTACAACCGTAATTTTCCTATATTTCGCCCCCCCTAGTTTCGCGAGTATTAAAATTTGTTTGTGTATAAAATTTAGTGTCGCATGGTGCAGTACACGTACAGTACAGGTACGGGCATGGCAGCAGAATTTCTCGAATGCTTATTGACTAACTAATAGAAGAACTCTAATGTAATTCAAATACTTTTTTTTTGTTCATGGCATCAATAAATAGCCAACAATGAAATTCCTGATCTCAACGCATTCAGTTTGAATAGCCATAAGAATTTAATTCATAACTTATGCAACAATCTTTGGAAAAGTAGTTGCAGATTGCGCCACCGACAACCAACAACTCATTGACCGGGCTATCCGCTGCCTACTTGTATACTAAGCTATGTGAATATATAAATAATGCTGCCGTTACAGCGGAAGGATGCCACTGCAGCTGGATTGCATATTTATTGCTTTTCCACTTGACTAGCCATCGAAACGAGTATTAAATTGCATTCCGCGCGCATTACATTCGAGCAGCGAGAATTTCTTTCCTTAATAAACTCACACTCTTGCGTTCGTCACACGCACTCGCACACGCACAGTAAAGCGATCGGTAAATAAATCAGTATAGCGAATGATGCAATTTTCTTCAGCAACAAATATCTGCGCAGGAATTTCAAATAACCGATAATAGTTATAAAAATAATAATAAGAAGTTTATGCTCAATTTTACACTTGGCTACTGTTGTCGCCGCTTATGTACACATTTTTTGAAGCCATTGACAATTTATTGAATACGCGGAAGATTGGCCGGCAAACCAAATCAATGCCAACTGTGGACGCGTAAATTCAGCCGACTTGAGCAACGTTGTGATGAACGGTTTTCCGCATTTTTGGCAGAGGATTTGTGTATCTA